AAGTATTTAAGGTTACCCCTGCTGGACAACGCCTCAGTGAGCAGGCACTATAAAACACTATTCAGGTCCCCATGCCTGGCATTTACCCATGCGGGTGTGAACCATACAGGACCACACCTTACTTTGCATAACAGGGCATATAAGGAAATTTTGCCAACTTGGCAGCATACAGTTTGTGTCTTTAAATTAATCAAACAGTTGACGTAAACTATCACTGACTTGTGACAGGGCCTAATAATAGTTGGGACTGATGCTATAGTTGGGGCGCAACACATACATGCTCTCTAGACCTCTGTGTTGTAGTTTGGCCTGCCCGACTTTAGCAATCTATATGTAGGTTAAACAGGCCAAACTATACATGTACATTGTAGGTAGTTGGGATTGATGCTGTATATGTAGGTGGGGCATAACAGCCTCATTGTATGTTTGGAATTTGGGCACATTATCAAGGGGTCTATATGTGTGGAACTCATGAACATGTACAAACTTACTGTGAACATGTTTTCAATAAGTTGTGTCATGACTCTATTCTATACATGTACATGTATGCGTCACTCGCCAATGTGGATTGTGCATGTTTATTTGATTTGTGTATGCCTTAGTGCTGCACCTACCTGGCAGGTGCCAGAAGTGAAGGTTTGGTTCGGTTCTGTTTAATACACAGTTTGGAATTTTTTTCTGAACTTTGGTTTGAGTTCGGACACGTAAATGTACCCTCATGTACAATGCACTTGTTGTGTGGTAGAGTGCTACACCTGCACGCCTTGCTAAATAACTATTCCCTCTGGTGTTGCCTCTGATCATGCATGAGTGTGAATTTGATCAGCATCCGATCAAAATTATTTTGCATGGCCATTTATGACATCACTGGCCTACTATGGAAGGTAGAGCATTGCTACATGTATTGGCAAACTACTGGTAATGATAAATGTGAATTATGAAGCACAATTTCATGTGGTGCGAATTTAGAATTATTGTGTAGTAGAAATGCGGTAAATGTTTTAATTGTTGAAGCCCATTTTTTTACTGTTGCAGTGGACCGCCCTCGGTACAGTGTGTAAATCAAAAAGTCAAGTACCCGCCTCCCTCCGTTAGTTAAACCATTTTTTTTTCTCTGTTTTTAACAGAAACCACTCATGGGTCAGCTTTTCTGGATTTTCTGAGTCCTATAATGGTACCTTCAAATTGACAAGACACACAGGTACAAGAAGGAATACCTAAGCAATATACATTGAATAAAAAACTTTGTCAATTGTTTCAACAGTTACGATTTAGTTGTGGTGCAATGTTGTAAGCAAGAATCAGTGCTATTGTAAAATTTACATCAAAGGTCTCTCTGCGAAGAATGTGTCTTCTGCATTCTTCAATGGCGAGTTGGAGAACAAAATGCGAGAACATGGCCATCTGGACATGTTCAACATGGTGAAAGTTGACAGTGACAAAGATAAAGTTCTCGCTGAAATTGAAAAGCTGAGGAGAAAGGAGCCTTATGAGCATCGCAACTGTCATGCAAATTGCAAGGCCAAAGGTAATCAATGTTATTATTGAAGTTGGAAACAGTTGTTTGTGTATGCTTTTGACGTTACCAGATGAATGGCAATTAAAAGAATGCATCATCAGTGCATCGGTGGCTTAGGATTGCATTTTTGTCTTTTTGTGGACATTTATTTTGTGGGAGGGGGGAGTGGAACTGTGCATTCATGTATGTAGAAGAGCTTTTCAGATGGTGTGCATTAATCTGTTGGACCGAGTAAGTCCATTGTTGATTTAAAATATTTTGCAATCACTTTCTGGTGGGATTCTTCTGTTAGTTTTTCCTTGCCAACAAGTGTCCTGGAATAAATCTATTTATAATCATTTATGAAACTGCCTGCACCCTTGTGCTCCATAATGAATTCTAAAGTACTCTGGCCCCAGCTCTGCACCATGGAGATCACGCAGGTCCCCATTCCATGCATGGTGCCCAGACGTCTCACAGCTTATGAATAGATCAATAAGGACGGGGACCAGTCTAAGATCACAGTGGCATGGTGCGAGTGGGCCCTACGTGTATCATCATGCCAGATACCTGTAGATGTACGGTAAATGCAGGCCAACACTACATGTACGTATGTCAGTACAGTCATCAAAGTTACACAAAGCATAAACCTTATAGTACATGTAGATGTGTCCCCCAAAACTTAATTCAACTTGCAATTAATTGGAGCAGTAACACTACTGCTTAAAGGGGATAATCTTTGCTGTGAAGATTTCTTTTAAAACATGCATCAGCACATAAAACAAGTATATATATAGCAAGAAACACATCTGAATAATTTCAAAATGTGTGGAAATATGTTAAAAAATATAGTTTTCACGACCCTATTTCACTCCATTCTGGAAGCAAAAGCTACAACAGCTGTCAGGTATTGAAAGTTGTCCAAAGAAATTCCAAAGAATCGTGACGCCATAGGACAGAGTCTTTTATCCAGCAACTGTTTACTGTTATGTAATGATGCGTAGACATGTACAGTACATGTACATTATGTAGAAGTGTTAGCGTTGGACTTTGCAATCATGTCAAACTCAAGCGCCGATAATTCCAGCATTAATGCTTTTTCTGATCACAGCAATCAGTTGTCATGTCCATTTGACAAAGAAAACGACATTGAAGGAGCTGATGAGGCACAAGAAATATGGCCTGGTCAGTTCGAACCAATACACTCAGAAAGAGATTTTGCAACTCGAGGCTGTTGGCCACGGGCATGGCGGTGACCCAGAGGATCGACAACAAAACTGCTCTGAATCTACATTACTGCTCCCAGGGAATTGTTTTGATTGCCACAACAGCCACCGACAACACAGATTATCAGCATTCTTTCGAAATTTACAATTCAGTATAGAAATTATTACATGTATACGACGTGATGCAAACTGAAATGAACGAAACGTGTCAAATTAGTTGTCCAATAGCTCTGCCCCGTGTTCAGAGAAGGGCATCTGAAACAAGACCAAATGTTGTGAACTTGACATGTGTGAGTTACATGTACGTACCTGAGTACTTGCCAGAGCAGAGAATATAGTATTCTTGCGCTGACCGATCAACTTTCTTGCCAGAGCTATGGATTTCTGTCTGGAAAGTCAAGTCCGTCCAATGACATTACACTTTTGCCTAGATTTGTCTGTTGCCCTCATTGACCGATTTCAATAAGTTTTTGCGCAGAGCCCGGCGGAGACAGAAAAAAGCACCCAGAAAAACGCCAATTTTTGTTGATTTAATGACATGAAAGATGGGTTAATCCAACTTATTGTATATAAGGTGGTTGAAAACTACATTGTACCTTATAACTAAATTTAACCCTGCAGGGCCCATCCCCTTTAAATACATCTAAATCAGTAGGATGTTTTGATGATCTCGTTTTCTTACCTGCTATTGCGTTGGCGAAGAAATGAATATCAGAGAAGTTCAGTACTTTTTTGTACATGTTCTATTGTTAAAACCGCAGTCCAAAATATTGATACTGTATGTTTTGGTCATGTTTAAATACATTCCTTTGTTAAATGCTGTAAGCCTGAAGAAATACTTAAAATAACTACAGGGTCTGCTTTACAAACAGGGATCAAACTGAAATACATGTACAGTAGTTGGTAGGATGTTTGCCTTAAGGCTTACTAATGATTTGGTAATTTAGTTGCATACAATCCAAACACAGGAACTGCACAGTTTGTGGATGACAACTGCGAACAAATGTCGACCATAACGGCCAACTGCGAGGCAGACAACCCAACATCCTATAAGAAAGATGTTGGGCATAAGAAGTGTATTCAGAAGTGGAGTCATGGCCATTTGTTCACTGTCAGGGCAGGTGGTCACATTGAGTATTGGCAGTCACTCTTTTTGTAAATTTTTTGGTAATTTTTTGCATGCTGACCCCTGTGCACCAGACATTTGCATGGTTACCCTTGTGCCACTTCAATGTAAGAATATTAATTGTGCACCACTTTTGAAAAATTAAACTTGTGCATGGCTTAATGTAAGAATTACACTTGTGCACCACTTATCTCAAGGTTTATTCTTGTGCGCCACTGAATCATTGTGAAGGTACTTGGCCGCAGAACTCAATGTACTTTAATACAATTCTGGCTTGGGCCACCCAGCTGGGATTAAGGGATCCTATTCCACCTTTCATGCAGCTCAAGGAATCAGGTCTTGATATCACTTGCATTTCCACTGGATCAACCTCAGACAGCCACTCATCAAAATGGACGAAGAGCCTCTTAGTGCTGAAACTTTAGAAATAGAAATAGAAATATTATCTGAAATTTCAAATGCATCATCAATACCCACTGATAATACCCTGGTTGAAAATACATGTACATGTATAGCTGAGTATCACAAGAGTATGAAATACTACATGCAAATACCAGAACACGTCTACTCGATTGATGAATATGACGGAAATAGATTGATCACAAACAATTTTGACATTTATAATGACCCAATTCACGATTAACAGCAAGACTTAGTTGGTCCATGGACAGTCATTTGGAACCAGCAAATGATTAGTTGAGCCTGAATGCCCAAGCAAAGTAACCGCTTGCAATGCTGCACTACACGGCATCTGATATCGCCATGGTCCAGTTGCAATGGAAGTGTGTAAAACACCTGGATCTGTGCACTCGGTATGCAGCACAGTATAAGTGGCAGAGAGGGACATAGACGTGTCCAGTGATAAGCTCTAGAGAGAGTGGATCCAGTCACACCCCACATACACTTTTATACTTTTCCCCACGCACGCACGCACTGCACTGAATATTCATAAAACCATATAAAGTAAATCAACAAAGGAAGCCTTTTTAAAATATATATGTATATATAACACAAACACAGAATACTACTTTAATCTACAGGATGATGTCTGCAATCAATGTGACCTTCCAGTACCGCAAGGCAGAAAAAAAAAACAAAGGTAAGCCACGCTTGTATTTAATGCTTGTGTATATATGTACATAAATTGGTTGATAATTGGGGGACAATGTAGCCCAGGCTCTCATCGGACTTCATTCCTTTTCTGGTTGTGATATTGTAAGTTCTTTTCGAAGTAAAGGAAAGAATAAGTTTGTGAAGGTCTTGCTGAGCAAGGAGAGATATATATTTGCGTTCACCCAGCTAGGAGCAGAATGGGAAGTCACAGAGCAGCTAAGAAAGCAAATTGAAGAATTTGTCTGTGATGTGTATGGACAGAAGCAATACCAGAGTATTAATGATGCTCAATTCAACTGTTTTCTCCTTGGTCAAAATGACAGTGCCCTGCCTCCAAATTGGGACAGTTTGCTTCTACACATCAAACGAAAAAATTACCAGACAGCTGTATACCAGACAGCTGTATGACTCCGTCAGACCAAAGTCTGCAAACTCTGCTATTGATGTAGAAATTACCATACAACATGAAATCTGCTGAAATGAGCTTTTGATAACCCTGGATGAACCACAGGATTCCTTTAGGTTTGAGCCTATGGTATAAAATGCGGTACAGTTTTGCACTGTAAATCAGAACTACTGGAAGTATGTAACTCATCGAAGTATGTCCAATCTTTTGATTAAAAATATCTCAAGCATTTTACATTGCAGTTAGGAGTTTGTTGAAAATTAACCATTTAATGATTAATTTCACACCATGTAAACACACAATAGCAGAATGGCTTGATTTAGCTGATAAAAATTAAAAAACTTTAATCAGTTAAATAAAGCCTGGAATGATTTAACTGATAAAAATTGAACAATTTCTGGTATTTTGTGTTTACTTGGTGTTAAATCATCCAGTAGGATTATTAGTCAACATTTGCAGGCATGTACATGTACATGTATGAAAAGACCTAACTAGTTGGTCAGAAACAAATGATTAATGTTTCTGATTTTTAAATAAACATACTGTACTTGCGGTACACTTTGTTTGGTAAATGATGTTTTAATGCTGTACCAGTACACAATTTTGTAGGATCTGTTTGTCATTCAATCATGTTACTTGTAATTACCTGTATAAATTTGTAGAATTATCTCACGGCAATGGATGGTTGTTTGTACAGTGCATAACGCTATAATTTTATAGTCCATAATTGGAAATTCTTTTCACATGTGAGGTGAACTGAATCCTGTACAATTGACTCTACAGCAAGTGTTAATGTAGCAGGGAACATCCAGTCATAATCTGTTCTATAATAACTAGAATTATTAAACAAAGGGGTAAATGTAACCTTCATAATATTTACCTTGGCTAGTTCTTTTCATCGCATGGACTTTCAAGAGTGGGTAATTCCAGACCTGTGATTTTCTGAGCTGTTTTCTTGAGGCCGTTCCATTTCCTTGTTGAGTTTTGTGAGATTACAAAAACAAATTATTTAGATAAAAGTAATAGTTGAATAACTCTAATAAGAGAACCAGAAGTGTATTCTCGATAGTAAAATATTATTTTGTAGATAATGTGTTTTATATTTGTAATCAAATTGTAAATAATATTTGAATAAATACATGGACCATTCCTGGTAATTTGGGTAATGTGGTTAACATTACAAAAAAAAGGAATCCCTGTTCGGAACAATTTAACTTGTAATAAGGAAACAAAATTTCAGGTAATTTACTGTCTGTTTATTTTCTTTATATTTCAGACAGTTTTTCATCATCCCTGTTGACTGTTGGTTTTTAATAATACCCCTCACACAACCTAATAAAATTTGTATATTGGAACTACATGTAGCTGTTCCCCCTCCTTATTTCTGAGTGGATTGGCTCTGTAACACTCCGACTTCGGTATTGGACTCTTGGGTGCAGTGTTCCAAATGCCAAAGTACATGAACGTGTAAGTTTCACTGCCAATGCACTGGCTTATCCCTGGATAAGTCATCAGACTTGGAGTTTGAGTGCTGCAACCTGAATTCTGAATTCCGCTCAGCTGTGATTTGGCTATTTCAAGGTTTAATTAGGTGATTGTGTCATGCTGTAATCAAGTTTCTTTTTTGGATGGTAATGTACACTGTCTGCAACTAGTACGGTAAAGCTCATCGAAACGTGAAGATTTTGTTCAGCAGTGAATTAAGTTGTTGCATATAATTACGTTGTTTGTAGATCCATTTGTAAAATGTCTCAAAGTAATATTATACATGTTTATCAACCATCTCAATGATCTGATCTTCCAAGCAAATCATGAATGTGGTTATTTCTTCTATGGTTTGGGTAATATAATTTTTAAAATGGAGCATTGAAGATATCCTATATGATCACCTCGGAAGTACATGTTTTTTTGACATTCCAGAATCACAACATGAATAGATTGAATTATGAAGACAGAAGTTTGTTAAGAGCCACAATGTAACATGGGGAAGATGTTGGTATTGTAACGAAAAGCTTTTTTGATGTCTAATTAGAATACCTTTTCTGTGTTTGCTCATGGCTCATTGCATGCTGAGAATTTGGCTTGTTCTTTTCTTAACTAGGACTCTTTTGTTAAGTTGGATACGCTTGAGCAGAGCTCAGTGTGCAGTCTGTAGATCAGTCATTTACATTTGAATTATTTTGTATCACCAGAAAATGAGGGCCACTCCCTTACATTCCTTCTTTTGAAAACTAGGTTGGGCACTCTGTATAAAAACTAGAGCCCACTATTGCCTGTCGAGGATTTGCGACTGGGTGTTGGCCAAGGCAACTATGTTTTGATTTGTTTCTGTTGCATGTACATGTATGAATGCCACTTCTGAAACATGTGGATATCCTGACAAATTCTGTAAGTTTATTTTCTATCTTCATGCATTTGTGCCCCATGCCTCATCTCAGCCATGCCTGTAGTTCTTTTATTATTGTATAAATTACTGGTTGTGCTGTATAATTGTAGATGCAGTAATGAGTACTGATCAAACTGTTTAAAGATGGTACTTGATTCGGTTACTTGCTGGCTAGAGCCACGAGCTAATTACATTGTAGATTGTGAATTACAGCCGAGAAACCTGTTGGGCTGATTCAACGATTTGAATCCATACTGTCAAATTGTAAATATTCGAAATGATGCAATTATTTTTGTTCATTAATTAAATGCCAGAGGCCAGTGGCAAAATTAAAAACAGTTCTTTTCTGTTTAGTTGATTTGTGTGTGTTCCCACTACTGGCGGAGTCCTAATTAAAGGGATTTTTGTTACATTATGTTCACAAGAAATTTACGGACATTCAGAAAGATAATACTCGCCAAGTAATGGCACATAAATTGAAAGATGTGCGCATCGCTAGTGCGAAAACCAATTCAGGTGATTCTTTAAACTAACAGCACTGAAAGTTACAAATTACTATTCCGTAAAATGTAGTATCCAGTCGTGTGGCTTCAATGTGCGGAAGCATAAATTAACCATCCATGTTAACCACTCCACTGAGTTTGACTGGGCACCCCACAACTCAATTTAGTGCACTACACATGACAACTCTGGTATCAAGTGCATTCCGTGTTTCAGAAAATTTTCACCCATTTGCATATCATGAATGAGGAAAAGTCATACCTTTATTGGATATTCATGTACACAGGCATCACTGGGATTTTTCCCAGGGGCAGGGACAAACCACTTGTTTTTTTCAGCTCGACTTCCCCTCGCTTAACCCCTCTCCCTTCCTTTACCCTTAGTTTGATTTTTTTTCCACGTCACAAATACTATTTCACTTATCTTTTGTTTTTTTACTTTAATTTTTTCAATATTTTTTTTTATTTTGAGGTTTTCCCACATAGCGCCCCCGCGAGATACTGTTGTGTCCACAAGTTTGCATAGCGCCCGCTTTGGGTTGACATGGAAAATGAATGACGTAATGTAAGATGGAGGTTGTTACATGAATACATGAGAAGAGTTCTGACTGAGCAGAAGTGCCTTGCGTTCCATTTCGTAAGTTCGTTTAATAGGCTAATATACAACAGATACCCATGCTGTTTCGATAAAGATTAGTTACCAAAAAGAAACGACTGAGGGCACTTTAATATTTGTCTACATTCATCAACTCGTCAGAAACTTCACCGATACTGAGGCTTACCTGGGTGAAACATTAGCAATTTTTCACGTTTGTAAAACTGAAACTGAGCAAGTTACTGATTGTTGTTGATTGGTAAGTGTCCCAAAATCATTTAGTAGTTGTTTAAGTAACGTTGTGCATCACGAACTTGTAGTAAAAAGGATTTTTGAAACATAGTTCTGGTAACGTAAAGATGATTTAGTTCACATGCAAGACGCACGTACATGTGTGCCCGAAGGTCATAGGTCATACTGCGGAAAGCCATGAAAATCAGTGTCATGTAAGTTTATACTGTGTAAACGCATTGACAGTTCAGCAGAGTTCTTGTGCTTTCGAGCCAAGTTTAATATCTACTGAGGTAATTATCAGATTGATTGCCAACTGGTTTTTGGATTGTATTAGATTCAAACATGTTTGCCACAGTTTATATGAGTGTGCATGCATCTGTAGTTTAATTCCAAGTTCAATTTGTTATACATGTAATTACAGGATCAACCAAAGAACTGCATATTCCAGGCTCATGGAACTGACATAACCAGAGTTTTCTAAGCTGTTAAAGTTAACTTGCATCCGGTGACAGTAGTAAGTTCTATGTTTCAGAATTGCATCTACCGAAGGCTAAAGAATTTTATGTAATTTCTTAAATCACCTTACTGTTTGCATTTTTCGGATACATGTATTTTTTATGCGTTTTACTAGCAAATTTGCAAGCCTGCTTTCCGACTACATGCACATGTACACATGTAATATTTATAGACTTGTACACACCTGTTACTGAATATTCAAAACAGCTTGTTTAATTTTGTTCATTGCAGAATTGAATGCTGATTTTTCAATAAAGTCACCATACATTAAGGCCGGATACAAAAAGCTGAGTCCTCAATTCCACTTGAACCTTCCACAATTCAATTTACTCTGCGTACCTACACCGAGGCCAAGATGGATGAGAGGAAATTAAAATGCCGTACCAGTAAGACTAGATTCAACCAGCAGAAAAGGGTGTTGGAACAACACATGTTGCAAGTAGACTCCATAGAAGAGCTGACTGCAGAATTTTAGAAGCTTGAAGTTACCTTATCTGAACTTCAAGACCGACATCATGAATACTGCGAAAAAATAGCAGATACTGATGAGTACGAGCAGGAAGAAGAGTACTGTAACGAAACATTGGTCTGGTGCCAGTCTAGGGCTGGTACCCAGCGAGGTGGCTCCGCGCCGCTGCAGCCAGTGAGTGTGTTGCTAGTGGTATATAAGGCAGCGCTCGCTGCACGTCGCGCTTTTTTCTGCACGTCGCGCTCTGCATGTTGCACATTAGCTCTCGCAAGTCTTGGTACACACGCAAGCTAGCTCTCACAAACTCGCTCTCCTGTACTCCTGGGTCACTTTAGTGTAATCGGCCGGACCGAGGACCCCGCGGCAGCCGGAGCTACCAGACAGGTACGCAGCCGAGTTGGTGAGTGGAATAACAAGTGTTGAGTTGGTTCCATTGCATTCAAGTCTCCCGCCACCTGTATAGGAGACGCCTAGATAGGATACACCTGAGTAGGAGTGAATAAATCAGAGTGCACACATAGAAAACCCTGGTGGTGTGTATTATTAGCGCCTCTACTGATTAGCCAGAGTGGGTGAGAAAGTGTGGGTGACTGCGGATTTCATGGCGGTGCCTGGGGGTATATTTCTCCCAAACGGAGGTACGCCCCGGGTTTTCCAGATAACCGCTCGTCGGGAGGGCCTAATCCTGAGCGTCTGTCTGAGGGCACACCACTGGCGAGTGTGAGGGTCGGCGGCACGCTACAGTACATTCAGACCTGCTTAGATGACTTCATGAAAATAAAGCTGAATCTGAACCAGGTGAGAAAGTCCCAGAAAGATGAATCCGCCAAAGATGTGCCAGTGAAAGATGTAGCTGTACCGCACGATGATGACGCCTCCCAAGGCTCTCCAGAGTCTGACATCCAACCTGAAAGTAGTGGTGCTGAACAACAAGCTGACCCGTCCCCTTCCTAGTCGAAACCACCAAGTTCTGAAGAAGTGCAGCCAACAAAATCCAGTGCCCCTGAACAACAACCACATGCTGGCCCTTACCCGAATGTTACAGCAAAACGGGGAGGAGGCTTCTCTTTGAGGCCTACTGAAATTTCTCGAGGATGAGACAAAAACCAGAAGAAGAACATCTGCGTCTATCAGAAGTACCAGTATTACGTTGCAGCCAGCCAGAGTACACGTGACCAAAGGACGACCTGCCACTACAGGAAAATGGAAGAAGTGCTAGGGGTGTG